TCTTTGCTTCCTAATAATCTTTCTTATATTATAGTTAGTGGTTTGAACGAACATTCTATATTATTGAAGATCTACGAAAAGTGGTAAATCTTGATTCTTGTTGATTATCTATAGGTATGCAACTTAACTTAAAGCAAAATGCCACTTACATCTGGTTTATAGTTGCTATATTTTGTTATCAAATACTTTAGAATGCTTTCTGTTGCTGTCAACAAACTACTGGTGGCTATTTAGAAATGGAAGTAATCTAATCTTAGGCGTTGTCACAGATATGTTTATATTTATAACTTTTTGTTCATAATATTGTTTTTTAAATGCGGAAATTAAAAATTGTATATGTTCGATACTTAATACACTTACAATTAAATACATACTTTTATAATACCAAACGAGTGCAGGCAAGCTTGCAAATGACGCTTCTTCTCCTATTTCGGGAATGTGAAACCTTCCTTTAGCATTAATTTCGATATCAAAATGCCTTACATTTTTTATTGAATCTAGAAATCCGAGCATAAACTTTTTGTCTCCGTTTTTCAAAATTAGAAAGCTTTGTGGTTTCTGTTTCTCACTTAATATCATCTTTATTTGTTCCCATGTAGCGCTTCCTATATACCAGCTGAAATTTCAAAATATGTCATAAAATTTATTAACTATTTTATTAAAAATTATGAATTAGAAATGCTGTAGAATTATAGGGTAGGGCGGGGCACAAAGGTCCAATTTGGCGTTATTATACTAAATGAACTTTCACAACACATATCAAACGTTATCATAACAAGGTACTATCATATTGTCTGCAGTTTAATCTCTAGTTAATTGCTAATTATATAAATGTATTTTTACAATGTTTCTAAAATTTATCACCTGTCCCTTTTTATTTGATATGCGGTGTAAAATGCGACCGGATCCAATGTCTTATTGGATAACTATAATTATTAAAAGACTATTTACTTTACTTGTTTCTGAGATATCGGTGGTAGACTTTTTCACCCGCGGACCTTTAAGCCCCGTTTCAACCAATTTGAGTCAGTTATTATAGTAATTGCATAACTTCATTATCATATCATGGTAATTAGTCAAGACATCATTATTATATTTACTTACTCTTCATTTTCAATTCTTCCATATTCGACCACCAATGCTTTTGGCACAAGTGCTTTTTCTCTCGTTTGTAGATTCATAACCTCATAATAGCCAGGTTTAGGATTTTCATTCAGTAAATGCATTTGGTCGCCTGCGTCGAAAGAAAAGTTTGTTCCTTCGTTGTCAAACGGATAAAGAGCTACGACCATCCGTATTTTGGAATGATTTGAAACTGGAATATAAATATGTAGTGAAAATACGGAAAAAAAGGGCATATATGAACAAAACGACACAGTGGCTTTATTAACTTCCTTTATCATTATTTTCCCTTGGGGTAAGTTATAATAATGGGCCGAAAATCGAAAATGAAAATTTTTGCATACCTTCACGTTTTGAAGGTTTCAGAACATTTTGCCATACCTCAAAAAAAATAGATGTGTGTGTGTGTTTTGTGGGTCCATATTTTTTCGTCCACGCTTTTGGGCCAAGTCGGTTTTGAAATAAAAATCAAATAATTTTTACTGAAAACAGAAACCTGATTTAGGTTAATATTCATTGTATTATCAATTTAACAACTTCAGAGGCTAAAACCAATTTGAAATTTTATTTCAATTATCAATGATTTTGCACTTAATAGATTAGTACACAAAACTGGAAGCTTCAGAAAATTTCTTCTTCTAGTGCCTTACTTACATGCATCATCCTCTTCGTGTCTGCTCATTTTGTTGATGTTCTCTTTGTTTTATATTGACAAGTTTGATCGACTTTACCATTTGTTATTTAGCACTACAATGAGTTAAATTTAAAATTACAGAGAAGTTTTTCAAACATAAGCATTTTATTGTTGTGAACATACGCTTAATGCGATATACAGTACGCTTCCTACATTTATAATAATTATATCAAAGTTATTATCGATTTGCTCGTTTGATATAGATTATCGTGCTAATCGGCATGAGCATACCATTAGGTATGTTTTTCTTTTTCTGAACATTAGTCTTCATTTTTAAAAATAAATGATTTAAATTTTTCATTTAACTTTTTTAAATATGTCGAGAAGAAAGTGACATTCGATATTTATGATTTTTTTTTTGATGAAAGTAAAATTTTAAGTGTAGCATTGTAGAGGCAAATCTATGTTGGACTTCTTAAAATGTCATACAATTCGTCATACTAGGATATTCAGTAATTGTTTTGATGTTATCATATGGCTTTTTAGACGAATATCAATCTAGTAGTTATACAATACACTTGTGAATAATTACCTGTTCGAGTACTTAACACTTAGCAGTTAGCATGCGGGCAACGTATTTTTACATTTTTTGCAGTATGTCACTGGAGCGCGGGTCACGTAAAAATAACTATTTATTAGATTTGGTGTGGACACCTGCTAACCACTACAAATCAACTAAATACGTATAATTATATGCATGTGTGACATTATATGCGTGGTGTTTGCATTTTTTCCATTCACGCTTTGCATTTTTGTTTACAAGTTATGATTGTCGAGATACTCGGTCTTTTGTTGAGTTATTTCGTCTTCAATCGAATTCCTAGCTCCAGAACGTACAAGTCGTGTTTTGTCAATTTGAGGCTTTGTTTTTTATTGTTGATTACAAATTGATAAAATGAGCCGTTGTGACAAAGATAGTGATGAAAAAATATGCGCTGACAGATTATCGGACTTTTCATATGATAGTGATTCTGAAAGTCAAGATTTCGAAGAAAGTGACGATGATGATATTATTCCACATGCTCGAGTGTTGGTTCAAAGAAAAATTTCTGAAAAAAAATTTCATCCAATGTTGGAAAGACATTGGTTGGGAATCGACGTGATTAGTTTTTTTTAACGATAGATACCATAGTCTTAGAGATCATACTAAAATATTACGGTACTACGACAAGTCGTTTCATTTTAAAAATTCGTCAAAGTTTGCATAAATTAGTATGGTTTTTTTGGTGTTTGTCAAAATTAGAACTTTCGTCGACGTTTGCTCAAAAATGCCTAAACCGAATACAAAAATTTAAAAGCCAATCGATGTATTTTGATGTAGATCATCTTCTCTCAGTTCTGTGCAGCGATCGGCCGAGCCGTTTCTTTGTAATTTGGAACTAATGGGGTGCATGGCATCGTGCCTTAAGGCAAATTGCTGTAACTTCCCGTACTGTAATCAAAAATCTTGGTACGGAACCCAAAAAAATTTACACAAAATGTGTACACATTATTACAATCTCTATAAAATATATGATAATTTGATCTCCAATAAACATATTTGACCGCTTTATGACATATTTGACCGCTTTATGACCGCTGTATCTGCCGTCCCAAAAATTTAATCAGTTGTTCATCTTGTCAATAAAAGTAAAATGTTTTTTGAATTATTAAGATCGGACGCTCCGTTCTCTTTAAAACTGAGTTACCGTTTTTGGCTCTTTTTGCACTTCATCTTCCGAACCCCTAGACCTGCCTTTGCCAAAAACTGATCAGCACGTCTCCTTATCAATACGAATCGAATGTTTTTTGAATTTTTTAAATCGGTTGATCCGTGCTCGGTCTACGAAACTTGTATCCGCACACACACACACACACACACACACATACACCCATTTTTTCTAAGGTGGGCCAAAATATTCAAAAACCTCTGAAACGTAAAAATATATAAAAAATTTCATTTTCGATTTTTTTGCGATTACTATAACTTGCCCTACGGGTAGTTAAAAGTGTTAAACTCCCGAAGGGCAGTTATAGTAATGGGCCGAAAATCAAAAATAAAAAATTTTGCATATCTTCGCGTTTTGAAGGTTTCTGAACATTTTGGCATACCGCAGAATAAATGGATGTGTGTGTGTTTTGTATGTCCGCATTTGTTCATCCACGTTTGCGGGCGCATGGATCAACCGATTTGAATGATTAAAAACATTCGATTCCTATTGATTGGTAGATGTGCTGATTAGTTTTCGGCAAAGAGAGGTCCAGCTGTTACGGAGATACGGAGCAAAGAGGGCAGAAAATACAATCAAGTTTTTGAAAGAACGGAGAATTTTGTTACGCTAATACAAGTTCAAAGGAGTAAAGATTTACGTTTGCTTTCATAACACTAATATATATATATAATATATATAAAATAAAATATATATTTTTATAATATATATTTTTATTGTGTTTTTATTGATAACATAATAATGAAACATCATGACCATAAATCATGATTAATGTATATAATTCAATTATTTACTTTTTGATTCAAGTAGGTTATATAAATTTAAACATTTATTACATTACTGTCTAAGAATATATATATATATATATATATATATATATATATATATATATAATATAAATATTAAGCATAAATTTAGTCACTTAACCCTTTTCATTCTCATTACAAGTCATTACTTTTCGCTTAGGTATATTAGAAATTCTAGTATTTTTCTAAAACTTGGTCTGTCTGCATCTTTCCAACTCCAACATTTGGCCATTACACTGTAAATATCATCATCTGCATAACATGGTTTTAATAATCTATGACCTTTATGCAGCCACTTATAGTTTATATCGTTTGAAGCTTGAAAATGATTGAGATGTTCAGTATCCGAAAATATATTATGAAGGACCACACCAAAACTCCACACGTCTGATTTGTGAGAAAACTCCTGATTTCGCAAAACTTCAGGAGCTGCAAACTTAGATAAGTCGTCCCGTTCAGATTCATGACAATTGTATGATTTTATTCTAGAATGCCACAAGCCTGATATTTTTATATTGCCCGTAATAATATGCACTATTACGTTTCTAGTCATTAGTTGCCGGTGAATGATATTTTTATCTTCTAAGTAATTCATTCCTCTGGCTATTTGCAAAGAAATTTCATACCTATTTAAAATTGTTAGTTTGCTGCTTTTTTCCAGATATTCAATCAAAGTGCGGCCATCCATGTATTTAGATAAATATGTATATTGTCATTTTCTACAAAAACATCTATCAGCGTGACCAGGTTTTTATGCCTAAGTTTTTTCAAGTCAATAAGTTCCGATATCATAAATTCGTCTTCTATATTTCTGGAGTTTGACTTCAAAACATACTTTTCGATTATTTGAGCTCTTTGTGTACAATAATATACAGTACGGTTAGATCTTTTTGTGCGCTGAACTTGGTTGTTTAATGTTTCAATTTTTTTTAGCAAATTTGGATCTGTAGCAGAAGATGTAGCGCGACTTGCTTCATGAAATCTTGCTTCTTCATCTCGAATATTATTATGTTGAGCAGTGGAAACAGATGGATTAATTGCATGGACTTCTTGTGATGGTCTATTTGAAGAAGACTCTGAAGGCAATGTTTTATCACTGGATAGTTTTTTCTTTGGGCCTAAACCACTTTTTTCGCTTGACAATATATCATTTATCAGACCATGGTTCTTATTAGAATTTTTATTCTGTCTTATATCAAGTGTTTTCTTTGACACTACATCACATAACGTATTATTTAAATTCGGTGAAAATATTTTCTTTGCCGTTTCACTCTGTGACAATTGTTTTTCTTGTAGTTCTTCATCGCTCTGTTCTTCGGATGTTCCACTATCAGCAAACGTTATCTGTTTATTTTGTATGTTGTTTTGTTTTCTATAAGAATCTGTAAAGATAGTAAAAGATATAGTTGATATTTTTAATAATTTGGGATATAATATAAATAATAATATATTTGTACGTTTGATTGATAAACTACCTATACGCATTTGCTTATTTGGCGGTTGTTCTTCTCGTGTACTAGCAGATGTTAAAGGGAGCTCACGAAACATTTCCTCGATAGTTCTTCGTTTCAGATTTGGCGACAAATTATTATCAAGTGAGGACTTTCCTTTACTTTCAACTTCATTTGGGTGTGTACTTGCAATTTTTTTGTATATACTGGTAGAAGCATCAGCAGAAATCATTTCTGACGATATTCTTGAACGTGATTTTTCTAATAATAATGTATCTCTAGAATCTTCATTGGCAGTTTGAATGTATTTATGATCGTCGTCATCGTCATCAGAAATTTCTACGGGCTCGAATGGTAAAGAAGGGTTGCAAACCACTTGTTCTGTCTCGGAAGCATTTAATCCATCTGCAATTTTTTCCAAGGTGTTATTTGTCCAAAGCGATTGATCAGTATTGCCAAATACCATTCTATCTGAATTTTGCATTTCTTCGTTGGAGGCTTCTATTGTTGTATTGTTCTTGGCGCCTTCTGTTGATCTTTTCAGAAATCGTTTAATATGAGACGTTATTATAGCAGGCTCGGACAACTTCAAATCTTGCACGAGATTGTTGGCTAGAAGTACAAATGTTTATTCAAAAATCAATATATAAAGGTATTTTATATGTTGATCAAATATTATTCATATACAACATTCTGAAAAAAATGTCGACAGTTGGTATTCTGCTTATTATTATTTTTTTAAATTGGTCTTTCTTACGATATAGTTAGTGGTTTGAACGAACATTCTATATTATTGAAGATCTACGAAAAGTGGTAAATCTTGATTCTTGTTGATTATCTACAGATATGCAACTTAACTTAAAGCAAAATGCCACTTACATCTGGTTTATAGTTGCTATATTGTGTAATCAAATACTTTAGAATGATGACAGTTGCTGTGAACAAACTACTGGTGGCTACTTAGAAATGGAAGTAATCTAATCTTAGGCATTGTCAGAGATATATGTTTATATTTATAACTTTTTGTTCATAATATTGTTTTTTAAATGCGGAAATTAAAAACTGTATTTAAATATATGTTCGATACGATTCTTAATACAATTATATTTAAATACATACTTTTATAATACCAAACGAGTGCAGGCAAGCTTGCAAATGACGCTTCCTCTCCTATTTCGGGAATATGAAACCTTCCTTTATCATTAATTTCGATATCAAAACGCTTTACATTTTTTATTGAATCTAGAAATCCGAGCAAAAACTTTTTGTCTCCGTTTTTCAAAATTAGAAAGCTTTGTGGTTTCTGTTTCTCACTTAATATCATCTTTATTTGTTCCCATGTAGCACTTCCTATATACCAGCTGAAATTTCAAAATATGTCATAAAATTTACTAACTATTTTATTAAAATTGTGAATTAAAAATGCTGTAGAACTATAGGGTAAGGCGGGGCACAAAGGTCCAATTTGACGTTATTATACAAAATGAACTTTCACAACACATATCAAATGTATCATAACAAGGTACTATCATATTATCTGCAGTTAAATCTCCAGTTAATTGCTAATTATATAAATGTGTTTTTTACAATGTTTCTAAATTTTCTTATCCCTTTTTTTGATATGCGGTGTAAAATGCGACTGGTAATGAGCAAACGGATCCAATGTCTTATTGGATAACTATAATTATTAAAAGACTATTTACTTTACTTATTTCTGAGATATCGGCGATGGACTTTTTCACCCGCGGACCTTTAAGCCCCACTCTAACCTATTTAAGAGTCTATGTTTTCATAGTAATTACATGACTTCATTATCATATCATGGTAATTAGTCAAGACATCATTATTATATTTACTCACTCTTCATTTTCAATTCTTCCATATTCGACCACCAATGCTTTTGGCACAAGTGCTTTTTCTCTCGTTTGTAGATTCATAACTTCATAATAGCCAGGTTTAGGATTTTCTTTCAGTAAATGCATTTGGTCGCCTGCGTCGAAAGAAAAGTTTGTGCCTTCGATGTCGAACGGATAAAGACCGACGACCATCCGTATTTTGGAATGATTTGAAACTGGAACATAGATATGTAGTGAAAATACGGACAAAAAGGGCATATATGAACAAAACGACACAGTGGCCTTATTAACTTTTCTTAGGGTAATTAACTTCCCGTGGGGTAAGTTTTAATAATGGGCCGAAATTTTTTGCATACCTTCACGTTTTGAATGTTTCAGAACATTTTGCCATACCTCAGAAAAAAAATGATGTGTGTGTGTTTTCGATCATCTGATTTGAATGGTTCAAAAAGCATTCGGTTCCATTTGATAGAGAGTGCTGATTAGTTTTTGGCAAAGACAGGTCCAGCCGTTACGGAGATACAGAGCAAAGAGTGCAGAAAATAAAAATCGAGTTTTTCAAAGAACGGGGTATCCAAAAAAAACATTCAATTTGTGGAAATGTGGTGATTAGTTTTTGGCAAAGGTAGGTCCAGCCATTTTGAGAAACAAGGCTAAATGTACAAAAAATAGCAGTTGTTAAGAGAATAAGCATCTGATTTGAATGATTCAAAAAACTTTCTGCTAGTGTAGATGAAACAATTGCTTTGAGAACGAAAAATTATTTCATTTCAATTTTTTTCAAAAAAAAAATTAGAAAATAATTTAGATTTCAATTTTGATTCTGGTTAAAGTTCTATCTAAGCTCACTTAAATACTTTAAGTGAATAATTTTT